GGGCATTGGCCTTGTCGCCTCGCCACACATCATCGCCAAGTTCCGCGATCCCAGGCGGAGCGGGGGCTTCTGCAGCAGCAGCATTGGTCCTGAAACAACCGATTTTGCAACTACAGAAAAGTAAAACAAATCATATGTACATATACAGAGTGGGGCAAGTCAGCCGCATGCATACAAAAAAACCCACGCCGACACTGCTGCTGAAAGCAGCAAGAAGAAAACATTGGAGTTTTTTTTTGGCACGCCAGTTTTCCTCGCAGCTATGTGTCCCGGAGCTGCTACGGGCAAGCTGCAGGCGCCTTCTCAGGCGCGCAGCGGCAGGCGGCTTGCGGCCACCGGGAACACGTGGCGTGCGTCCGCCAACAGATCAGCCAGCGGCGGCTCTGTCCAACGGCAGCTCAGGGAGTGACAGGGCGAGAGCCCGCTGCGCGGCGATAGCCAACATACCTGTCCAGCGGTGACCTGCCGCCTGTCGGGCCGCAGCCCGAAGCCACGGCGGCGCCGCCCGCGCTCTGGAGGTGGCCAGACGGCGGAGGAAATCCGCCATCTCGGCGCCAAAGCGCCCGCCCACCTCCCGCCAGCACCACCAGGCGACACCTACAGGCAGCCAACAGCTCCGGGTACGTGGATGGCGTTTCGGGCGTGCTGCGTTGGCGAGTGGCACGTCGACGTTCATGTCGCGCAGGAAAACATTGGTGGCTACCCGCGCCCAGCCTTCACGGCAGACTCTGGCGGCTGCTCGCTCTAAAGGCACGCTACGCCGGCCCAACACGCCCGCTCGGCGACGTCGTCAGGGGGTAGCACCGGGGTGTCATTTGCTGGGCGGGAGACGCGGCGTGCAGATTGTAACAGCTTGCTGGAGCGCTGCGGCCTGGCCCAACACTTCGGCACGACCTTGCGAGCCTCGGGCAAGCAGCATGCGGAGCACGAGTAGGAACAGCTTCCAAGCCCTGGCAGCTCGCATGAAGGGAGGTGCACCTTGCAATGTTGGAGCTGGGTGGCGCAACTTCTCCGCGAGGTCGACGTCGTCCACAGGATTCCACAGGGCCCCCCACACTGCGGCATCGGCCACGGCCGACCGATCCGGGCAGACTGGGACGGAGTGGCGGTCGTCGTTGTCGTCACTCGCCGGGTTAACGTCTGCCGGCCTTGGGGCGGGGCTGGGACCGTCGTGTATGCATGGGGCGCGGCGGCCAACGTGGGTGATGCGAATGGCGTCCGCTGGCTGAGCGTGTCGGCTAACGTGAAGAGGTGGCAGGCCCTGGAAAGCTCGCCACTCCTGACTTTGCCGAACCCTTGTTCGCGTTTTCGCTCGGCCAGGAGTGTGTTGGGCCGCCGTGTTGCCACTAGCAACTGCACCCACTCTCGCCGCTCGTGACAACGGTTCGTGCCCTTGAATCCCGCGGAGGTACGTGCAAGCAAGAAGCGTGCGTGGCGCGAGGAGAAACAACTTCCACGCACGCGACGCCGGTGCTTACGGGAGAAGGCCTGCCAGCGAGCGCCGACAGCATGCTTTTCCGGGAAGTGCGCCGCGCTACGTCTCGCCGCGAAAGCGTACGTTAGAGCAGAACCGCTCCGAGTCCATTGCCAGAGGCCCCTAGGCTTCCTCCGGCACGAATTCCGCCAGCCAAGTTGGTAGTGTGAGCTGCCTCTCCTCCCGGAGCGCGTCCAACGTGTCCGTGGTCAATGGGGCATAGCCAGCCATCGTCACGATTGATCTCCTGTAGGCAAGGGCCCTACCGGGGGTTTCTGTGCGCGAGCGCAAGGGTGACTCGAAACCAGGGACCGGTTCCACGCTCATAACCCGCGTTGCGGACAGCGGGCACTTTGTCGCAGCCAAAACACACAAGTAAACTACGGTACACTTCCTACTATGTTGTCCGTTGCTTATTTCTGGAGTTCCTGCGTGTGTCGCCGGCTGGGCGGCATGGGCGGATGCGCCTCCGGTGTTGCGCCTGCGCTACCCGGAGGCCGCGGACCGCTTGCTGCGCCAGCAGACCTGTCCTGGGGCACGCAAGGGTATGATCACCTTGGGTGAAAAGAATTATAGTGTGTTCATGCGTGTTTACAATATTCGATACGTTCACTCGCTCGTTTCACGCATTTGTTACCGTTGTTGTTCAGCTGTTGGCCTCCGCTTGAACACGAGAGAAACCAAGGTACTCCAAGGTATTGACCAACAAGCAATCTCACAGTTGATCACCCCCCGGCAACTTTTGCAAATTTGCGCCTGTCCTGCTCGGGAGCAGAACCCGGCACACGCACTGCGCCACGCCCAGCCAACCTAGGTCTGAGCGATGAGAACCTGAATTTGGGAGGGGGTTGAAGTGTAAGGCGATAGTGCCAAACGGAGTCGCGGACCACATGTGTTGTGTTTTGTTTTCTCAGGCGCACCGTTTGGCCACCAGCCGAGCACGGAGCAGGCACCCGGCGTCAGCTCACGCGAGCCAGCTATCAAGGGCGAGGCCCTCCGCGGACTCGGCAAGGATGTCACTAAGGAGCGGCGCCTCCCCATCGATGTTTGCCTGCGAAGCACGCCGGCGGGCAGCTGCAGCCGAAGAGAGCGGCAGGGAAGAGCGGGGACTCGAGCTGCAGCTCCCGCGACAACGCGTCCAGGGCGCAAAAACAAGACAGAGCGCCACGGAAGTTCCCACAACTTTACCAACCAACAGGCATGTGTGGGAAATCATGGTGTCCACATCTGGCAAGGCCTTCGGGCATGTCTGCAGACCAAACAGCAGAAGGCGGATATGGTTGCGGTTGCCAAAGCAAACACACATGCAAGTTATACGATGCAACACTCTTGCCACACAAAAACATGTTTGACATGGCAGGACGGAGAGCAATTCATTCCAAGTCATGTCGGATCGCAACAACATGCAGCCGAGTACCTACATGGATGACGGCGTCAACCACCCAAATCCTGCAAATTTGTTTGCCAGCAGACGCTACGCACGTTGGGCTGCAAAGGGCGTCCAACGCTTGGTCGCACTGCGAACCTGCCGCGCCCTGTACGTCCCTGCACAAATGGCGCGGGCCGGTTGAGCTTGTCGGGCACATTGCGCCCTACCCCTCACACCCCAGGTGAACCCTGTCGCTCGGTACCCTTGCCGAGGCGGCTTGGCGCTGGCAAGCTAAGGCAAGGTGTCGGTGGAAGATGCACATGTTGTAAGGAGCTGCAGTCATCCAAAGCAGGCGATGGATAGCGATGGCACCAGCGTGACTGGACATGACAGCATAGCTCGGACAGCATGGAAGCAACTTCGAAGCCCCCGAAAAAAGAAGGCAATGTGAACGCCTGCGACACCTGGATGGTGGATACCATCCAGAGTGGAGCTGGAGCGGGTCGAGGAGTGAGGCTGAAAGCATAGCACGGCATCTCAACTTGGAAGCTAACTTCTAACTCACTCGTGAAATGAACCACTCGTGAACCAGCTGCGTGGCTTGGGGCGCAAACCCACTAAACTCGGCCACTTTGCACACAGACCAACTGCACGGTGCGAAAACAATTGGGCCAACCAAGCTGTTGTTTCGACAAGTTGGGTTTGAAATAGTGCTTCGAACAGTTTTCGAACGCTGTGCCCACGCTTTCGTGCAGTTGCACCGTCCCAGGTGTGACGCAGCATCAGCAGCTAATAGCGGTGCCCAATGGCACGGCCCTGAAATGCGTTCGCACCAATTGGGGTCGGACAGATGTCTTCGTGCAGATACTTGGCACAAAATGTCTGATTTCCAACGCGATGTCATGCACTCAACTGCGGTTGGCAACCCTTCGCTTTGGCTGTCTTCCTGCTCCTCCACCCCACAGATCAGCCGGGAGCCTCGGTCGCGAATTCGAGCAACCCCCTGCCCCACCTTCTTGGTGCAGCTCGCGGGGTTTTGAATGGTGTGGCCTGTGGCCTCCCGAATGGTATGGCTTCCTGACTTTGCAGGGCTTCCCGAATCGACTGGAACCAGGCACCTGAGAATCGTGTAGTTCTTTCATCACCGCGTTTCCTTGTTTCCTGGTTTCCTGAATCGGGGCTGGCTTCTGAATGGCGGAAGCCGAGCACTGCTCGCGTCGTACATCTTTCCTTTCGGCAGCGGAGGAAGACATTGGAGGCGACTGTGGCGCACGTGCTTACGGCAGGACTGCCCGGCTGCCGAGCGGCCCGGAACACGAGGTGGTGCGCCAGGCACGCAAACTGATCGTGGCAAGGGCAAAACCCACCAGTGGGACTCGTGGGGTCTCCCTTCTCCGCTTATCGAGGCGAACCCCGCACAGCACCGCGCAGCTAACCACACACTTCTGCACGTTGTGAAACATATTCCGCATGGATAAGGTTAGTAACAATACTACTACGCTTGTGGGACGTCGAACTGACGGAGTACCGCCCTTTAATATCTCTTTCTGGGCCGGCATTCTTTCCCAGACCTTGCCTGGGATTGTGTGGGTGGGCTCAAGTTTGTTCCTGGTTCGGGCTCTGTACAGCGGGTTGGAGGGGGTTGTTGCCATTCCTCTGTTCGGATAAGTCTCTGATTTAGATTCGGATTCGGCATGGTGGGAGGTTCGGGTTCTCGGATCCATTTCACCAGGACTAGGAGATCTAGGAGACTTACGCAACCGACAGCTCACCCACTTCACCTTCACTTTCCCTCTGTTGAGCAGCAACCGGCATCCATCAATCACATCGAGACCTGAGATTGCGGGGGACTGCCCATATGAGAGCTTACGAAATAGGGGACCTGTAATCAAAACCCCACATAGTAGGATTCCCGTATCATAAGGACCTCAAAAAGGGACCCCGAATATGAGACATTATGAGACTGTCGAGTCGAAGTTTTCACATGCCATTGTCGCAGCAGTCGGGGAGCCTTGAGCTGCCAGTCCGCGGGAAAATGCCCCCTCCTATTCAAGGAGCCTTCACATTGTGCCCAGGAGGGAGAAAGGTGAAACCACTGGCATCCAAAAACTCACAGAATCACTACGTCTGCCTCTCTATTGTACAACGGTTCATGAATCACGTCAGCGGCTGCAGCATGACGATCCCGCGTTTCAGGTCGTTCAGGCACTTGAGCTGGGAGGCGTGGAAGCGCTTCATCTCGCGCGCCAGGAGGATCAGGTCGGAAGATCGGGCGGCTCCGTTCAGTCGCATCGAGGCTTCTAAGAACTCCTCGAAGTTGATCTTCCCGTTGCCGTCGATGTCCACCACCTCCAGAAGCCGCTTCGCCTCTGAGGGATGGACGTCGATGGACTCAAAGAACTCTTGCCTTAAGCGACCACAACTCTCCCACAACTCACTCTCTCTCTCTCTCTCTCTCTCTCTCTCTCTCTCTCTCTCTTTCTTGCAACTGAAGGAAGCATGATTGTTGAATTCACAAAAGACACAAACAGTTTTGTTAACACCGCCTGTGAGAGCCAAGGATCACGGCTGGGTTCGACGTGTGGTCCAAGATCTCTTCAGGACTAATGAACCCGGAGTGGTCCAGATCAATCTCACAGAAGAGCCGGCGTGCCTGGAGCACACGGTTCCTCAGCTTCAGGTCCTTGGCCTGTTGACTCATCGTTTCAACAAACGTGCCCGTGATGACATTCAGCAGCGCTAGGATGCAGAAGGCCATGAAGACGATGAACAGAAGCCCGAACCTAGCTCATTGCCGGGAGAATATGAAAAACCTTAAATGCTTATTCCTCACTGGGTTTAAAATTGCACCCTTCAAAAAATTAAAAAAAGGCTCCCCAACTATGGACAAAAAGGAACCATGGGCTGATGCCGATGATGAGGGGATCGGCGATCACGTGCCAGTCCACGCCGCCGGTAACGCCCTGGAAGAGCGAGAGGACGCTTTGGGGCATGGAGCCCCACCATTGCTTCAGCTGATCGTGCTGGCCCTCGGCATTCTCAAGCCGGTAGGCCGTGGCGGCCTGCGTGATGTAGATGGCAACCACGTAGATGGCCAAAAGCAGGAGCAAGGCCGACCAGAGGAACTGCTTCAAGGACAGAAAGAGGCAGTTGATGAGAAGCTGCAGGTCCTGTGCGAAACGAACCGCCCCGACCAGGCGAACAACCTTGATCGCCCGCAAGATTCGGACTACCCGCATGACTTCCGTGTTGTACTGAAGGCCTCCACTGTGCATCTCAGCCAAGCTGAGCAAGATCTCCTCAGCTACCTGAGCACTCACCAAGATGAGATCCAGCACGTTCCAGCCGCACCCTGTCATTGTGAAAAACCGCCGTCCGAATGCTAGAAGTCGGACGGAGAGCTCCACAGCGAAGAACACGCAGAAGGCAAGGTCTAAAGCTCGCAGCCCAGAAGGCACTGTGCTGAGCATGTTCGAAGCCACGTAGTCCGTCTGTATTCCGATTGCTATTGAGTTGGCACACAGGACGAACATTGATGCGGATTCGAAGTACATGTTACTCACAATCTTCCAGGCAAAGCGCTGTGCGAAGCAGTTCCTGAAGCCAAACTCCACTGAGGAATGCCGCTGGAATGAGAAGACCTTGTCGAGGCCCGATGTCCGGGTCGGAGACGTGAGGACCGACTTTGATTGGAACGCCTGAATCGTCTCAGCATTTTCCGACTGCATCGGCTGCATCGGCTCAAGCGGCTCCTTGGGGCTCAGGCGCTAGGATTTCAAGCCCGAGGATCTCTGGGAATTTTTAGTGTTGTAGGCTGTTCTACGTGCTCAATGGACTGAGTAGGCCTAGTGAGGCATCTGTCTCCCAAGCACTCCATCTTACGCCAAGCTGCGGCTTTCGGATCATCGTCCGCGTCCGGCTCCACATCAAGTGCCGGGGCAGGGATGTTGGGAATGTCGGGCAGAGAGGGCAAACCGGGATGCCCGGCGCTTCGCAAGGAGGGGCGCTGGGAGAGGTCTTTGACGAAGCGGCCGGATCCCGGGTCCCAGACGGGCTCGAGGGCCTGCCCAGAGAAGCGGCGCTTCAATGACATCAAGCCACCTTGCTAGCCCAGGAACCACATGACAAAAAAAGGGCACCTTTGGAATTCGGTTTTGGTTTTCTTTTTTTTGGGGGAACCTTTTGAACCCAAAAAAGGGAAAAGGGTACCGGCTACCAAGCCACCAAAGCTAGTGGCCCGTTTCATCGCGTCGTCCTCACCGATTTTTTTTAGAATCCTCGTAGGAGCAAAAGCTTTGTTCGGTCGGTACAGCCAGTCGCCCGGGCCAGCCGGCACCTCTTCAGAGATCGGCAGCTCACAGACGAGTCGATCCGAAGAGTTCTCAGAACGATCAGAACACCTAGAATCCGCGCTGACAGCACTGGCAGCACTGGCCGTGCCATCCATTGGCAGCGGCAACACCTGGAGGTGCCTCTCCTCCCTCTCGCGCTCGCGGCGCAGGCCACCCGGTCTCTTGAGAAACTCCCGCACCTCCTGGCAGACTTGCTCTACCAGCTCCTCACGCAACTTCTTAAATTCTAGCTGCATCGTATCGAGGAACATCTCCATGCTGTGGTCGGGCTCCGTGCTCTGCGCCATGGGGGCCGGAATAGGGTACCCCACAACTCACAACGCCCACAGCTACCTGAACCCTCCGTGAGGCCTTCGAAGGCGTGACGACCTGGGCCTCCTTGTGTGACCTGGGCCTGCATCCTTGTTCTCAAGCCCTCAACCTTCTGGAGTTTCAAGGGGCTCTACAAAGCCTGGTGTCCAGTTTGGGAGAATCGAAGCAGATACTAGCAGCTTGGAGCCAAGGCTGCTAAAGGACATGAGAAGAACTTCCCCAAGGGTTTGGGGTTTCGGGTTTGGGGTTTAGGGTTCAGGGTTTTACGGTTTAGGGTTTTACGGTTTAGGGTTTAGGGTTTAGGGTTAGTGGATCCCAGCAGTTTGATGCAGCTCGTTGGTGCAAGCACTTGTATTTGTCGAGCCATGGTCCCATCGCGCTATCACGCATGCCGTTCCCAGGTCATGCATGCAAGCATGAGGGCATCCGATGCGGGCTGCGAGGTCACAGAATGTCACAGAAAATTAAAAACAAGTGTTGGGACAGTGGTAACAACTACGGATGACCAGGACGGAAAGAAACAACAGAATATGCAGCATGCAAGGAATGAGCTGCCTAACAGCAGCTTCACACAAAGGACATACTGCATTGGATTCACGGCTGCCGAAACTTGCTTCCACAACAAGCAATCTACCGAAGAAATGCCAACAAAACGCAGCTGCGAAGCTGCCAAAACTCTCTCAAGACCCCAGACAAGTCGCATGCCCAAGGTTCGAGCAGCCGCGTTCATGAATTTCTCGTGGTTCGAAGCCCTCGTGACTTCGCCAGGTTCTGCGAGTCTTTGTGCTACTAATGCTGACCCGGCACGGTGGAAAATCCATGCAAGCATCGCTGGGACATAGAGGCTCCTCTAGTCCTCTAGATTCGAAGGCTCTCGGATTGGTTCATGAGCGACGCAAGGCTGCCGTGCCGAGAAAAAGAGGTGCTATATGGATCTGCTTGAACTCAAGAGAACCCTTGCATCCATCCTGCCCTATGTCTTCGGAAACAGATCCTAAGCGCATCAGAAGCGTACCTTTTGCACTGAACTAGCGCTCACAGTGCGCTCAGGCGTGGCGAGCCGGCACCTTGCGACGGAATTGCAAGATCAGAATCCTCAATGCATCTCAAAATGCACTGAGCATGTCTTCTCTTAGAATTAGAAAAGTGCAGATAGCTCCGGTAACTCACGTGCAGTCGCAGGTTTCCCATGCCTGAAAAAGGTGGACACACTTGGCCGCCCCCATCATCTTAACCTTTTTTGCAGGAGTGCTGGGGTGCAGAAGCACACGTGAGCTCGCAAACAGAATCTCGGTGACTCAAGCGAGTACGGACAGTAGGACTCAGACGCACAGCCTCATCACAGCTACTTGAATCCGCGCCTGCACACAGAGCACCACGGAGATGCGGACCACTGAAAGAAGCAAGCCCCTCTTGGCCCTCACAAAAGCTGAGCGCGGTGCTACTGGTTCTTGAAGTGCAGCTATCCCGCAAAAGCGTGCTCCCATATAGTACAAACGCCGCACGCACGCAGATTTCAAGCTTGCGGAGTCAAGATACATTAAGAGGCCATATTAGCCCAGTGTCGCCCATCTACAGTTGACAAGCACAGTTCTTCGCGCCTTGAAATCTGGAGCGTGCAGCTTTAAAAGAAACAAGGGGCCAACAGACGATCTCAAACTGCCTTACACTGTGCCTTGCATAAAGCAATCGCATATCAGAGGAAGTGGAGAATCTGTGTAACAAAGCAGACCACTTCATGAAGGTGCTGGCCCTCACCTTCAATGCTTCTTCGAAAACAATCGCATATATTACCAAGTCTTCCACGGAATCTGGTTCACCTGCGCGCAGTTCTTCTGCGAACAAGCGCAGACACCTTACTTCAGCTGCAGCACGTGGTTGAGGGGTTGAGAGTGCGGCCACAACCGAGGGGGGAACAACCGCGGGGTTCTGAGTCGCCGGCAAACGACGTACGCATCTCGAAAGGAGATGTGCATAACGCGTCTTGGGTCTTGAATTGTGCAGATGTCTTGTGTGAGGACCGGATGAAATCTGCATCTGTTTGGCGGGAAAATCTCAAGTTGCTGCTCCTTTGGGGTACCAGAGTTCTGCCTACGTGCAAATGCCCACAAAGTCCTCTCACATGCTGACCAACCCAGCCTGCTTGCATTGAAGCCCAGCGCTCAAAAACGCTTCTAACTTCAAAACAGGCTAAGTGTGGCGCAAGGCCCAGGTGTCCCGAGCCCGCTTTGACTTCCACGCCCTAAACACCCTAAACCCCAACCCCTAGACCCCTAGATGTCGTCTTGAGCTCAGTGAGGGCATCTGTAGGCTTAGCGGGTCGTAGACACACCGGGGTGCACCGCATCACAGGATGCCCTTTGCCATCCGGTTTGCAGATGGCGGTGCAGCTATTGGCTGCTAGTGTACTGCCAGAGGGTCGGAATCAAGAGTGCTGTTGTGTCAACGTCGGTAACAATGGCCACTGTCAACATTTGTAACATAAAAACACCACATCACACCGCCCAGAAGAGCACAGCCGAGCGCTCTTTGCTGTCAACTGTGATTCGAGGCGCCTCCCTCAACGGCTAAGGATTTTGAAGATCTAATGGCACCTCAGCGGCGCGGAGAAGCTGCGCGATGCTTCTCAAAGCTACGCGAAGGCGGCGTCCACGCAAAACTGCTCAGGCCAGCACAAGCCGGACGATTTCACCCAGCATCTAAAGTTCGACAGATAGCCTAGGAATTGCAGAAAGCACCACAGAACACACATGACGGCACATGCCCTTCGGACCGTCTTCAAGATTGCCCTGGACGTCCCGTCTCACAGGCTCCGGCCTCCGAGCTGCTTCTTCAGGTGGCACACCACTACCACGTCCTCGTTGCAGGAGATGCGCCAAGAGGTGTCGTGCAACATGGTACCAAGACATCATCCATGACAGTGCTCCCCTGGCGCTGAGACATGCTGAGGCACTGGCATGAACAAAGTTCCACCGAGACATCACAAGAGCTCTAAAAAGTTGAGATCACGAAGCCCTTTGCACTTCAACCAACAAGAACACATTGCACACTGAGGAACCTCTGCCTCTCTGAGCCAACACAACCAAAAAGGGCTCCCTGCGCCCCCTTTCGGAGGCAACTCAGGAGGTGCTGTAGCTACTCAGACGCTTGCGGCAGCATGTCCCAGGAATTGAGGGGGCGAAGCAGCGGCTCCCCATCACGCCGCCCAAGCATGACGCTGTACAAGGCCAGGAAGGGCTAAGCAGGGGAGACACGGCAAAGCCCTCCAAACTCTCTCCCCCCGGCTTCCTCTTCGTCTCCAGCCCACAAAAAAGAGGGGCTCCAGGAAGGTTTCAGATGTCGACTCTAGGTGTTCACATATCTGCATATATATATATATATATATATGTATGGTGAATACATGCACATAGACTACGCCGATCTCCATTCACAGCCTGGACGTGCCACCAGCAAGCTCGCCTAGTTTGCACATTCACCAGTGTGGCAGAGGCATGTGCTCAGGCCCGAGGTTGCACAGTGCAGACTCTGCAGACGTACAAGCACGACAGGGTCTGTCAGAAAGAATCTCAGAATGATATGGAAGGGTAGCAAGTGCTTCAACCCGTGGAGCTTGCTGACTGACTCAGGTTCCTCGAGCAAGAGCACTACTGCCCCAACCCACCGGCTGGAAGGCAGCTGAATCATGCGGTCCATACAGATGTTCAGGTCAACACCAACTCTAAACACACTTCAAATTTCTGCAAAGAAAGCAAGACTCAGCGTGCCCGCTAAGATCACAAGATCTGGCATTCGGCGCAAGCTTCACCAAACGACCTTGGATGCACGTTGATGATGTCAAAAGATGCCCTCAACTCTGGCTACTGTAGGTTTAGGGTTTAGGGTTTAGGATTTAAGGTTTAGGGTTTAAGGTTTAGGGTTTAAGGTTTAGGGTTTAGGGTTTCGGACTAGGTGTACATTCTCAGAGAGACACATGACAGAATCTTGGTGAGCAAGAAAGCAGCACAAAAGCCGTACGGTACCCGGTACTTCATCTCACAAGCACCACAACTAAGGCGGAAACGGCTTGCATTAGCTCCGTTCGGTGCTTTGTCGAAGACCTTGCAAGAATACTGCAGCACCCAAAGCCCTTTCAACAAGTCTTCATCTAAGCAACACATTCACCACGCCTTCTCAGACAGCAGCATCAGCAGTCAGAGCAATGCAACATTTAGGCAGCCACTTCTCTATGATGGCGCGCACGACCTCATCCGAGACCTCCAAGCCATCCTCGCCGACAATCTGGTCGATCCAGCTCAAATCTGGGCCCTGCCCGTGGCACACGTTACATTCGCATTGCATTGCATTTGCCTTGCATTGCCTTGCATAACAATACATTGGTCTAAAAATGTAGGAAAACCAATACAAATACTAACACGAGTACTCACATGAAGATAAAAAACCATGAACCATTGGTAGTGGCATTCATACTGCAATGTAGTTTTGCCTTGTAAGCGAACGGGCGCATACGTATTCATCCGAAAAAACGTATATGCAAACAGACATGCGAAGAGCGAAACAGAGTGCAACAATGCAAACACTCGGACTCCCCTGAGACTGGGGACGACACGTTTTGCGAGAAAGGTCAACGTGAGCTGCGGCCGTGGGCCAGGGCCCACGGCACTTTTGAGCATACACGGACAAGAATAGGTAGCCGCACCCGTGGTAATAGTTGCACACGCATTGGCCAGGGTGGGAACGAAAATGTTCTCCCTAGGCTGCACACGCAAGCCACAAAACTGCACAAGAAGAAAGTATGAGAAGTTCTCACGCCCAAGGGAACTTTTCGCATGCACAGAGCACCCTCTTGTTGTTCGTCAAACAAAAAGTGGCCCACAGGAAAATACAACACCATCCCGCTACGGTCGAGGTTCTTTATACTACTCAGAAAAAATGAAGTCAGGGGGGTACTGTTTTTACAAATACTTGGCAGCAAAGAATTTGTGTCTGTGTAGTACATATAAAAGTGCTATATATATATGTATATATATGTAATGTATATGTAATCTTAACAGTATTCTTCAGATTCATACTAGCACAACATGGTAAACGACGAGTGCTGGTCGTGGCCTTGCTACACTCTATACGTGCCTCCTCAGTGTCTGAGAACAGGGTATTGTGCTGCCCACCTGCAGGCATGGCAATCTTGTCGCAGTTGGTCTGTACCCTAAGCGCCAACGAGTACCAGCATGACATACATGGTTTAGGGTTTACGGTTTTGGGTTTAGTACTTGGGTTTACTGTAGGGTTTAGGGTTTATATAGGGTTTAGGGTTTAGGGTTTAGGGTTTAGGGCTAGAAAGCACAGAAAAAAGCGGGGGGACCTGAGGCATGGCTGGAGCCAATGCTGTACACATCCGGCGTGGACGGGGTCAGCCTCGAGCAAAGCGGGTTAGGGTTTAGGGTTTCGGGTTTCGGGTTTAGGGTTTAGGGTTTAGGGTTTCGGGTTTCGGGTTTCGGGTTTAGGGTTTCGGGTTTAGGGTTTAGGGTTTAGGGTTTAGGGTCTCGGGATCAAGGCTTAGGGCTTGTTAGGGCTCGGACGTAAAGCTTGGGGTTCAGGGTCCCCCGACATGAGAACTCGACAGCATCCCAACTGTCGCACGATGCCAAGGCCCAAGCCAGGGCGAGGGAAGAGGCATGCGCTGCCTGAGCGAAGCAACAACTGCGTTCGCACCAAGCCAGCGCAAGACACGTGAATCTCCGCTAGGGCGCTGGATCCGCTGCAAGTGCTGCTGCAACCTGAGAGCACCAGACGTAGCAGCTTGTGCGGAGCGTTTTGCCTCTGCCTTCGTACATTCGCCAAGCGGCGACTGCTGTTGGAGCGCACTGCCTGGTAGCCAGGCCTGGCCGGGGTCACTGGACTCTGTCTGCTGTCATCGAAGTCCATGATACTCAGATCATCAGGCCGCTCCTCCGGCAAGCCCGGGTAAGCGTCGCCTGAAAAAAGGTCATCAGGGCGGCAGCGCGGCAACGCGGCACCGGGCCAGCTGGATCAGCTAGGCTCCAGGCTAGGGGGCAGCCTTGCAGGATCTGTCAAGGACATTGAAGGCGACAACCTGCCAAGGCTGCTGTTCCACCCGTGCCCTTGCCATCTCTTGCCAAAAGAAATGTGGGAAGCAAGGCTCCCACTGCGGAAGTTGAAGACCGGTCCCGTATTTCAATCGAAGAGCCTGGCAGTCACAGACTTGGGAGAAGTACGGGCAACAGCACTCGCCTTGCCTCATCCAGTTCTGCTTCACGCCCCTCGTACACCTCATGTCCATATGACGAGACATGACGAGACATGGCGAGAGACCGTAGTGTGCTGACACCAGCTGGTGCACTCCAACACCTGCCGAAACCAAGCTCGCAGCGTTGCAGATGAAGTCAATGAAATCGCGTTCTGTCAACTTTTCGGGTCTGTGCGCTTCGTAGAACCTGGCGAAAATCGCGAGTGGAGTCGACCCGCATACGCCACGTGGCCTAAAACGTGCAGGGCTAGCTGCATGATAGCATTCCGCAACGGCACGTTTCGCCCATCAGGACGAGCTGCAGGCGCACGAATCCTTGCTACAGCCAGCAATCACAAATCTAGCAGCTGGTTGAGGGTGTGCTGCACATCGCTGTACAAAGAGAACTGAGCCCGAAACCCTACACCCAAAACCCCAAGCCCTCAACCCCAAACTTCCCAGCTTTGCAACTGGGGATCTGGGGGGCCGTTGCAGCCGAAGTCGGTCCCTTAGGGGCATGACTCTCTCACATTCTGATTGTTCTTAGGACTATTCTTGTTATTACTATCATGATTATATCACTGCTATTGTTATGAAAGTTGTTATGATTAAGATCAGTATTGTTATTGATTATTCTTGTTGTGAGCATGATCACTATGCTCAACCTGCTGCCTTCACCTCCGTCACCCGATGAGTCCGACGAGTCAGAGGGCAGTCTTGGCCGAGGGCAAAGGGCGGAGTGCTTGTCAGGGATGCTGTCAGCGGAGAGGTCTGACCCTTGCAGTCTTGCTCTCATGTCCATTGTGCCCGTTTGTTCTATTGTGGGGCACATGGCTGCCGGAGTCGGACGCCTGCGGTTGAAGAGGGTATCCAGCTCCATGCATCAGGGACAGCTGCCTGCTCCGAGCTGCTGTGCTACAAGCAACACAAGCATCAGCTGTGACCCAAAGCGGAATCTCCGTGGCCTCAGGATTGAGTCATTGTTTGGCAAACGACTTCCCCAGTCAGCCTGGTTAGGACACATTCTGGGACTGCAATTCCGGATGCAAGATGATGCAAGCCCTCAGGCACCTGAATTGGAGGTCGGCCATTCCGCGCCATGTTCGAAGGCAACACTCGCGGCCTCGACAGGAGGCTCTGTGGCTCTTGCATACCAGTGCAGTGCGTGGTAATTGTGCAATGGAGCGAATAGTCAAGTGAACAAGAGCACACTTTCAATATCAGCAGCAGGGACGCTTGGCAAACAGCGTCTCAGCTCCAATCGGTCCAGACATATGCAAAGGTGGCTGCGCACGCACCCGGTTTGCCTGCAAATGTTAGGAGACTGCTTTGCATCCGCTGACATACGGTTTCTCTCTCTGATTGTGCTCACTAAGGCTGCAACTGCATCAGCGGCATCTGCCTTCGCAAACTGCGACTTTGAAAACGTATTGAAAAGTTGCTTCGAGGAAATGTCGCTCACTAAGCAGCTGACCTGAGGTGAGCTCATCTTATTGCTGCTAAGAGCACGCTTCACCTCACATTGCATCGAAACTTGCATGATTCGACTCGGTCTTCATCCACTTGCCTCCAGTTTGGTGCCGTTACGCAGGACAATGAACCGTGAGGGTGCACTCCTCAGCTTCTTTAAACATTTGCGAAGTCACGAAAACGCACAGCAAAGAAGGGTCGAGTCTACACAAGATCTGAAATCTCAGCCGTTGGCCCAAGCAACTCATCAATGGCCAGGGCATCATGAAAAATCACGAAGCCAAACCCTCGATGATTTTGTGGTCCACTGGCCTAGCATGTCCACTTTTCAGCCCAACACCGCCAGTTGCTCAAGGTTGTTCAAGCTCGGGTTTCGACACCATTCCCACTTTCATCTGTGGTTCGACACCTTCGACACAATATCGACATCATGTGTAAGCATCCGGTACAGCATCACCGACATAGTCGACATAACCGACATAACCGACACAACGAACATCAAAACACACAACCCACAGGGCACTTCTGCAGCCACGCTTTCTTCACTCCAGCATGCTCGCTGAATATAGCCTCGCATCACGCAGGTTCCCTCCTGACTGAACATGCCTCATGCATCGTGAGGCCATTCCGCAAAAAGGCAGCACCAGTGCAGACTTGGCACGTAAAGGTCGTCTTGGTTCAAATCCTGAGGGACGCCTCCAACAAAAACCTTGGCAACCAACTCAACAGATCAGGTATGCTTCGCGCAAACTCCATTTTTGCGCAGCCGCGACCCAATGCTTGCTGACGAGGCGCCTTGCGGTCTTGGGCCATGTTGTTCACCACTTCAGGCCTCTCATAGCAGAACATCTCAACCACAAAGGCGAACGCGGCTAGTACGCCATAGAATGCTGACAGCTGAGGGAGCAACCAAATCACAGCCAATCACAGCTTCAATGTTTTGGATATTCAAGTTCGAGCCAAGCCACTGCCCGCATCTCTCTCTTCAGGACTCAAAACTGAGAAAATGGGATCCCGATTCAAGGCGTGCGGGGTGTTTGTTATTTGGGGACCAGATGGGTTGTGTGCAGGTCGTGGCTCGTTGCATGGCAATGTCTATGTCCCGAACTCTGCACACGAAGGGAAAATGCAGATATATGCAGGCAACCTAAAAAGAAAGGCCCTAATCCCACATTCTTACAAAGGTGGCGTATGGCTCTCGCGTAGCACGTTGCAGAAACGGGCACAAACCCCTAACAACACGAAGCCCAAGGTCACGAGATGGCCTAAGAGCCGGCGGTTCACAAAATGTCAAGGCAATCAAAGTAGCTGCACAATTTGGCCGGAAGTGCTGGAGCTTCGTGCTGGAGCAAAGCTCGTCTCATAAGAACCGATACATGTCACCAAGTACCCTAGAAAACCGATTTTTCCAAAAACTAGCCAAACAGTTGGGCCTCCAATGAAACATTATCATCGGTTAGGCTGATACCACCAAATAATCGAAATTAACATTGCATACAGGCGACATGGGTTTTGCAACACCCTGCATTTCGCGTTTGTCTTGCGTCTACCAAGCTTTTTGCACGCCCACATGGTGGAAACGTGGCATGCAATAATGTTGGCGACCCTACAGGGAAGAAGCAGCGCCACGATGCGCCACGGACATTTAGCTACACGTTAACGAATTCACCGTTCCGGCTTCTCGTGCTGCTGCGAAGCCTGCTGCGTAGAATCTGGACGGCCTCACAAGAGAAGCGCATGCTCTGAACCCCACGAAGTCGCCGTAGCCAACACGCAAAGGGCCTCGCCCGAATGGAAGACGCCGTATTGCACCAAGCTCAAGGAAAGCTCACATTCAGCCGGCCACAACACACCGGGAATAAAACGCAGAAACACCGACACCGGGAATAAAACGCAGAACTGAAACAAGCAGCCGCGCAACCTCATTCTCTCAAGTCGGCGCGCACTGAGGTGACAAGGCTAAAGGACGACCCAAGGCCAACGAACAGACTGTCCAGCCCATTGGCAGAAAAGCAGCTTACTCTCGCCGTTGCATTTTAGTACCCTTTTGCAAGGCACTTGAGCTAAAAAACAGCTGGAACACTCGGGTTTTTGACCAATGCCGCCTATCGCGCGTTCAAGTGGGTTTGTTTCCAGCACCAACACGCGCATTTGCGCGGCCACTCCAACCCCATGCGAGCACATAATCCGTAAGCTCGCAGAAACTCGCGAAACAACTTCTTACAAACACCACATAACCATCTCAGCCTACCTGCTCGATAGCGTTCTCCATGTCGTGCAATCTGCAGGCGCTGAAAATGGGCAACTACCAGTGCATGGCACGCTGGTGCAACAAAACACCAACCGCCGCTTTGCCAGCTTTTGTAGGTGTGCTGCGCACACCTCCTTTAGAAACTGTAAAATATTCAGTCTCGCTGCATCATCATCTTCAATAACTGTGAAAACGCTGACGCATCTACAAACTCTGTGCATATAGAAGACAACTCAGGCGTGCAAATTTCCACGATCAACCACTGCACTGGCTGCACCTGACATATCTTCTCCCTCAACGTCACGCTGTCACGACCAAATGCTACCGCAATCAGCATAACAAGGCTCGCGTTCTCCTTCCTTGGTGGATCAACACACAGAGTGACTCCTGCGCTTAAGTTTTGATGCACAAGTCCCCTGGATTGGTAGGAAGGCCTGTATGGCAATTTTTTGAGCATTTGCTCTTGCACAAAACAGACTCTCACATCAACGTTGGTGACTTTACGAAGACCTTCTGCTTTGCTGACCTTCAGAATCGCAGCAGATCTCTGGGACAGTGCTTTTTGTTCCATCCGAACACATCATTTATGATGAAAAAACGGATGAAAAAATAACAACAGAAAACACCCTCCACTCACAAATCACACTGCGCTCCGACCCCCAGGACGCGTCAACATAACACGTCAACTTCAAAGCCCCTGCTTGAAGCCTTGAAGCCCATGACACGCTCAAAGTGTCTCAACACATTCTCATCGCGCATGCTTAAAAAGAACTCTCAAGAGGTTGCGATTGCCCCGCGCCTACATCAAACACGCAATATTAATTTCGAACATCAACGCACGTCAACGTTATCAGAATCTTTTGGCTGCTTCTGCTGTCCACCGTCTGCTCAGAGATTCCTCTTCATTGTCAAACAACTAACTCTCTCAGACACTTTCCAAGCTTCAACGTGGAGGCTCCGTGAATTGAATCATACTACCGCTCGACATCATCTCAATGCCCTGCTTGCTGCTACCATCTTCTTTGACCACACTTCCCTTCGAATTGAGCTTTGCAGTTGATGGGAGGGAAGAAGACAGCGAACAACAAGAAACAGCCAGTTCCAGCATCGGCCTAAGGAAAACCTCTGACAGACCGGGCATATGTTTTTTCAGGGTGTTGGGGGGGGAGAACATATAACTCTCGAACTTGGTCAAAAAAACATTCGTGGGACCCCCCCCTCCCTCCCCTCCTCCAGCAAGTTGAGCACTTCTGGGCGATGTTTAGCGGCCACATGTCCTTCCTCCGGGTCCTGCCCAACAGAGCTCAGTCTGCCGAAGCCCTCCCCTGACGGCAACATCTCAGCATGAAGGCCCCGTGCAGAGTGAGGTGTTGTAGGAGCCCACGATGCATGTACCATATCGTAAGTTTTCTGAATTTCAATCGACCAACCTGGCCACGCTACGATGAGGACCCCGTTTCCAGGACGAGATTACTGGTTTGACGCGCATCCGCCAGATAGGCCGCGTTGCTAGGCACTGGCGTTCAAGTTACGTCAGAAAAGACTTTGAGGGCGGCGGAAAGCTGGGGTCTGTGGCCCAACAAGCAAACGGGGAAGTCAGAAGACTCTTATCATATATTATCTAAAAACCACAGGCTTGGACTCTGGCACTGTTTTTGGAGAAGGCATGTCAGGTAATTGGAGCACTTTTTGAAGTCACCTGCAACAGGGCCCAAGAAGCTTGAAAACCTAAAGTCTCTCTTCTCTACTTGTTCTCTACTTGTTCTCTACTTTTTGAATAATGAACGCAAGAAAGAGCGTGGAACTTAGATCAAGTTTCTCCTCTGATTTTCGAATAATGAACATGAGAAACAAAAACCAGAAACGAGGGGGTGGAATTTAGAACGATTATCACTCATCTCATTTTTGTGGCCATGGTCTGAGAGTCCCTCTACCCCCCGCTTTTTGATGGCGTCAAAGACTCTGTTATCTTTTTAGATGATTTCTCTATCAAAGTCTCAAGTCTGTGCTCCTCTATTTTCGAAATTACAAACGAGGGGTTTTAGACTTATTTTCTTGATCAATTCTGCACTCCTCTGGTTTTCGAATACTGAACCTAAGAAACAAAACACAAGAAACGAGGAGGGGTGGAATTTATGTCTCACTCCTCTCATACGAACAAACAAAAAACGACTTGTTTTGAACAGAAACAATGAGTGATGCAAAATAGTTCGAAAACAAGAAAGTTCCTGCCGAAACAGTTGTTCGAGAACCTGGGTTGCTAAAAATACGACCCAAGGGCAACGAACAGACTGTCCAGCCTATTGGCAGAGAAGCTTGCTCTCGCCGTTGCATTTTAGTACCCTTTTGCAAGGCACTTGCGCTAAAAAACAGCTGGAACACTCGGGTTTTTTACCAACGCCGCCTATCGCGAGTTCGAGTGGGTTGTTCCCGCACCACGCGCACTTGCGCGGCGCGAGCGGGATGCCAAGGAAAACAATTGGCTGCCGGAGTGCCCAGTTGCTGGGCTTGAACAGTGCTTTCGTTTCGGGGAAGAGGCATAGCCGAGGTGCAGGTTGACAGTCCCATGAGTGCTGGCCAAGAGAGAAGCGTCGCGTTTTCATTGGCAGTCGCAAATTCGCAGCCCTAGGCTGTTTTGACTTCAAACGCTAGTGCTGTACTCCCGCTCTCTCTCTCTCTCTCTCTTTTTTCTTTGCCAGCCACCCTTTCCGAGGAGTGCAGTTCTCTTGGACCTCAACATCGATCGCCTCACGCACACATCATACAGCACAGTGGCGGCCAGTCGCATTTGCAGTCGAGAAGACCTTCTCATATTGCGTCCTTTTCCACTGTGGCTCTTCCAACGCGGTGCGCCAGATGGACCTGAGCTATTGCTCAAAAAGCTACGTGGAGAGCTCAATCTGCAAGACATTCGGGAAGCAAGGTGGCCCGAGCGCCTCCTGTTCGAAATGCAAAGAAATCAAACCTTGGAAGCCTTCTCAGATTTGCAATGGAAACGAATCCAAGCCACAAAGCCCGCCGAATGTCTCAACTGTCAAAACGTCCAAACGAACGGTAAACGAAAAAAGACTACGTTGACTTTGATAGGCGATCATCGACAACTAGCAGGGGTCTCGAACCAATCACAGGGTCACAGGCTTGCTTTCCCTGGCCCGGTGACCCTGGGCAGGTTGAGCAGGCGCCATGCCACTCGCTGTCTCGGCTCCTGGAAACATCGACTTGGGAGTCTCCGATTTTATGGGTATCCTTTTTTGAAGTTTGGGGGTATATTTAATCGGGTACCTCCGGTACACGCCAGCTGCCTCTAGTAACTAGAAGGACAAGGAGACTCCAACGCAGCTAGGAACCCAGCGATTGTCCAATGTTTTGGTCATTGGCATGTCGTGCAGGCAAAAGCGCGCTGATCCACCCAGCCCCCTTTTCCGGCGCCAGCTGCCAACAGAGGCTCACGAGGAGTCGGGTGCTTGCGACTTGGGTTTTTTGCCTAACGGCAAAATGGGGGTGCGAAGCACTCTCCCGCTATGTCTGTAGCCTCCGAGAAAAAATTGCGCAAGAAGCAGAACAGAGACCTTACAGTTGCAGAATCCATCAGTTGCAAAATCCATGAAACAGCTGCAGTATAACAAAGTAAACCAAAACCTCTGGTCTCTAGAAGCCGCCAGCGTCACGCGTCAAACGATTCACAAATATATAGAAGCCGCAAGAACGATTCACAACTCGAAAGAACCACAAATATTCAGAAAACATACAAAAGCAAAATCAGAGAGACAAACAAAGAGCCAGAAAGAGGTCAGGAAAAATACAAAAACAACGCAAACCAAATCAAAAACAGATTTGCACTCAAAAATTTTTCAACCATACAAGCAACTACTACTGCTACTGCTACTGCTACTGCTACTGCTACTGCTACTGCTACTGCTACTGCTACTGCTACTGCTACTGCTACTGCTACTGCTACTGCTACTGCTACTACTACTACTACTACTACTCCTCCTCCTCCTCCTCCTACTACTACTACTACTACTACTACTACTACTACTACTACTACTACTACTACTACTACTACTACTACTACGACTACGACTACTACTACTACTACTACTACTACTACTACTACTACTACTACTACTACTACTACTACTACTATACTACTACTACTACTACTACTACTACTACTACTACTACTACTACTACTACTACTACTACTACTACTACTACTACTACTACTACTACTACTATTTTCATTCCAATCGCAGCCGGTCTCTCAGCTTAGCGTCAGGTACGTGGCAGCGCATTGCACCGGTGCTTCAAGAGCACTAGAACCACATGGGCAAGTCCCGCTACGAATAGCTGCAAACTTGCGGCCTACTCAACTTGTCAAGAGAATGGTGCACCAGTGCACCCTTCACTCGATCAAAAGAGTGCAAAATCAGATAAGTAGAAAGCGAAAACGTAAAACATGAAAACAGGTCGTAGAGCTATCGACATCGCTACAGCCATCTGTTATGGCATCTTGCATTCATCATGGTGTTTCTCTGTACAAAGTGCAGTCCTGAGAACTGCAGTGGCCCCAGGAGGGCACACTGAGGACCACGCACAGCACCCTGTAGTCCTATGAAACTGCAAGTGGCCCCAAGAGGGCGCACTGAGGACCACGTTCAGCGCCCTGTAGTCCTGTGAACTGCAAGTGGCCCTTGGAGGGCACACTGGGGACCGTGTAGTTCAGTACCCAAGAAAGGTCTGGCCGCAGAGCATCGCCAGAACACAGCTTTCTCGCACTTACTAACTGTGACCCGGAAGGACGTAACGTCAAAACCCAGACCACATCTCGAAGCATACGTGGGGTCGGGGCCCAGTGCGGGCCATCCCATCCGAGGATAGGGTAGGTTGCCGCCGGCAGTCTGTCAGCATTCGGGACAAGGCAGCGATGATCTGCAGCTACACACTCCTCGGGTATCTGAACTAGAGGTACACAGGCACAAGGGCTGCGCTTGGCAATGTCGAGTAGCTCTATTGCAAGCTGGCATAAAGGATCTCTTGACACATCGGTTCCACTTGTGAGTAGGTCCCTGCTTCCCATCTGTGACCTGAACTCCGTTTAGCTTCGGCACCTGAAGTCGTCGCTGATAGGCAAGGGAGTTGCCTTCCCCAGCTCCAACGGAAAGAGCTGGAACCCTCACACTGTGGGACACCTGACAATGTAGCAATATAAGTAGAGTCGTCAGTCGGCATCCCACCCCGGACTTGGGACCGGGCCGACTATCTATAAGGAGGTGTGGCACTATGCGCTCAAAGTTAGGGATGGGTATGCCCCACTTTTTTTTACACCCGCTCAACCCTCATTCGTTTTTTCCCTAGGGGGGGATATACGTTTTCAACATTTCAATATATTTTTCCTCATTTTTGACATCCGACCCTCATCCGTTCCTCGCAAAAAATCCCAATAAAAAATCAATAATTTTATGATAAAAAATATTAAAAATTTCATCATAAAATTTTCCAAAATTTTCATAACAATAATATTTCAAAATTTTCATCTTAAAAATCTTCCAAAAATATTTGTTGAAAAAT